ATCTGATTCTGATCGATATGTCACGTGGTATTCATCGTAGAACTTAGGTGCGCCAAATTAGGCATATCTACCTTATGCATCAATAGAGTGCTAAACATTAATATTTATGAAAGCAAGACCTAAATGATTATCGTTATAACGATAATTGATTTTACATCCCAATAAATTCATGATTATGACGTATGTAAATCATTGACTCATACGCCTTTTCCTGTCTTGTTGGCCTTTTTAACCTCTTTTCCTCTTTTTCTTTGCATTACATTGTTACTAGCCTGAAACATAACAAGAAAATACATATCCGAATAAGGATTAACAGTGTGACGATGAAAATGCTTATCAGTTCAAATCTTGTTATCGATAATTATTAACTATAGTCGGTAAATTCAACCATTTATACGTAATTGTTTTCCCGATTTACCAAATGAAGAAATGAGTAAATAATTATATGCGTACTGTACATGGCAAATATTTGCTGAATATTTACTCCATTATTAATCATGTGAAATGTTTTACCAAAAGTATAATATTGTTAAGAGTCCCGTAGGGCAGGTATCTCTTAACAATTAACTGTTAACTGTTAATTAAAAAAAAAAAATCTTTTTTCGAAATGGATTTGGAACGTAAAAAGGAATTAGAAGAGAAAAGGCAAAAGCTTGCTAAACTTAGGCAACAGAGAGAAGAGCGTAAACTCTATAGTCAAAACACGACTATAAGCGAGCCTGCTTATAGAACTGATCCGGTATTTTTTGTTAATTTTTTGGGATTTTTTTTGCGAATTATGAATTAAATCAATTATTATTTTAATCCTCAAAATTCTATAAAATATTTGAATGTGAAATTATAGGAAAAGGATCGTAAGATTGATGAATATGTTAAAACATTGTTAGCTGAGACGAAAGAGAATAAAGTAGCAGATAACATTAATGTTTGTGAATTAAGTTGTTTTACCTATAAAATACTGTGAATTAATTTTGTTTCTAGACTTTTAGCAGCCAAAATCGGTTGTAAAGTTCAATGTATTGAGGTGGTATGTATTCTACGGGCTCTTCTCTATTTCCTTTGAAGATATGAAGAATAATTGGATACATTGATTCGAAGATTCGAAATGGTGGTTTTTCACTTGGAATTTCCCAAAGAATTACTCCAAAGCTATGTACATCAGGTTTTTTTATCACGTTATTTGCCATTTGCAAGACATTGAGGATCCCTATATGCCGGCATTCCATGAACCATTGAGTTTGATGCCATAGACATTTATTTAATCTCAAAATCTGCGAGTTTTGATTGTCCTTGGTGAATTAAGATATTCTTCGAATACTAGAGCATTAGAGTATTAGTGAATTAATAAATAAAAAATTCCGTAAAGTTTGCAGTATTTTACTTACTACAATCATTTAATGCCCAAGAATCATAATACCCTTCGTGATTCCATAGAATGCAATAATGTTTGGATGGCAAGAAACTCTTTTTAAGAGTTTAAGCTTTTATTACATAAATTATAGGAATTTAATATTTAATTTTATTAATTTAAATGGACAAGATTTAAATATAATACCTTATTAATAAAACCTTTAATCTTTTCATTTAAACTTATATCGGCATCAATTTTAAAGGATTTAAGAATAACTCGTATTTGTCAAAAATCTCCATTATTCAAGATAATTAAGATACACATCATTGATATTCCTTTCAAGCCATTCTTCAGGTGCATTTGTATGTTGAGATAGTGTACAAATGTTTTCGAAAGGTATGCTTAGTCGGCCATTATAATTCGAAAGAAACAAGTTCCCTGAGTGCGTTAACTTATTTGCATTTTTAGATACAAGTAACTCTCGTTATAGTGAACTCTCGTTATAGTGAACCTCTTATTATAGTGAAGAACAGTTTATATAAAAATCCTCTTGATATTGTGAATTTACTAATAGACTCTCGATATAGTAAAGAAAATCTTACAGCCTGATCACTTCATTATAACAAGAGTCACTTGTAGCGTAGAAATGTTTTCTGGAGTTGTGTTGCTGTTATTCGAAAGAACCAAGTTCCTTGAGTATAGTGAAGGTCCAAGTATTAATTGTGCACCTTTTTTATCATCGTCAACCGCATTCGCAATGAATCCTACAGTTTTTCTCTTGAGATCTCATAGTTTGGATGTGTACCAATAATAGTTTTTTCTCTTACATGATTTGAAATCTTAAGTATTATTACAAAAATATCAAATTCATTAAATGGAGGGATTCCGCTCGTAAGTTCCCAAAGCAATACGCCCAAGCTATTACTATAGATATGGGATTTTTGTCACGTTTAGCATTGCTTTGGAGATAGCGCTGTGGTTTAACATACACTGCCATGCCTTCCACACTAGAACTTGAAGAAGAGGAACTATCTAATTGCTTTGATAAGTCAAAATCTGCAATCAAGCCCTGTCAAAAATATTCTTAGAATGCTAGATTTTTTATAAAAAAAAATTTAAAAAGTTTTATGCAGAGATCAAAACTGTACATAAAAAGAAATAAACTAACCAGATCTCTGTGAATTATGCCTAGGTCATGTAAATGTAATTTTTATTGAAATCCTGATGAGCTCAGCCCATAATATTTTATAAATGCCTTCCTTCGTCTTCTCTTAAATATTGTCACAAGATACCGCCATTGGCAAATTGTAGTACCAACATAAAATTACCCGTTCGGGCATCTAAAGTCCAAAAATTATAATTAGAAATAATATCTTCAAGTGTACATCATGTACACTACTGTAAATTTATACCTCTAGAAATTTCATAGAATTTTATGATAATGAAGTTCAAGCTACACATACATGTAATTAAAATTCAAATAATTGTATGAATAATACACATTATTTCGAAGTTTTTTGAATGTTTTATCGTCAAACTCAGATTATTTAGCCTTTTTATTGTGTATATTTGTCCTTTGAAGGTGACCGAATACACTATAGAGAATCCTCATGTCCGATTCTTTTAAGATTGCTGGATTATGAATAATCGAAATATTTTATATTGCGATTTTTTAAAATTGTTTCTAATTCTTTTTAATTTAAAGTTTAATAGGTATAAACCATATAAAACTTTCAGAATTATTATCTCACTAATTAAAATATTCAGGTTTTAAGGTAAGTACTTAAAATATACCTGGCTATACAGTAAAGGACCTTTGTTAAAGAAGTTCATTGTAAAAGCTACTCATTATTAATAAAGTTTATAGAAAGGTAGCCATGGCCTCCCGCAGAAATAAACATAGCACAAATAAAAGGCGAAGAATACTCAGTTAAAAAAACCACGGAATTTCTGAGGGGAAAATTTCCGAAACTAACATTGACCCTCTTGAACCAAAAAGAGAATGCCACATCGAGTAACCCTTGGGAGTGGCTCGGTATGAGATGGGCAAAAAATACGAAAAGAGATATTTATTGGTGATTAACACACAGGGTTTTGCCCCTGGGATATAGATTAGTTCATACATCAATCACTGAGAATGGAGAATGCCCACACTGCCAGGGGACGTTACAGACTTTAGAGTACTTTGTGGCAGGATACAATTTAAGCAGAAGAATATGGAATATCTTATACTCCAAAATATCTATCATATCTATCCTAGAGAATATCTCTCTGCCAAGCTCGGTAAAGGATTTATTCCGTATTTTCCTTATATTATCGAAAATGGGAGGAGAAATACGGTAACCGCAAAAAGGATCCAGAAAAATAATATGCAACAAATTTTTTCCGTATTTTCTTTTATATTATTGAAAATGGGAGGAGAAATACAGTGATCGCAAAAAGGATCCGGAA